AAGAAGAAGAAGAAGAAGAAGAGGAGGAGGAGGAGGAGGAGGAGGAGGAGGAGAAGAAGAAGAAGAAGAAGAAGAAGAAGAAGAAGAAGAAGAAGGTGTTTGAAAACACACGTCACAGCAGAGGAAGAAGAAGAAGAAGAGGAAGAGGAGGAGGAGGAGGAGGAGGAGGAGGAAGAAGACGAAGAAGAAGGTGTAGAAGGTGTTTGAAAACACACGTCACAGCAATTAGCAATTGCGAGATTAATGTAGGCAAGAGTAGAAGTTCTGAATGACAGAACTAAACGGGCAATTAAGTGAAACTTTCACAAGGGCAATCAGGCATGAAAAAAGTATGATGACTTCATCGACCATCAAAATGATGAAGATGCTCAGTGTTCCCAATTGAGTGAAAGGTACTAAAACAAATGTGGACATTTCCAGTTGCAAGTTCGGGGAATTGATTGAGAAATTGATTGGGAAATTGATTGGGAAATTGATTGGGAAATTGATTGGGGAATTGATTGGGGAATTGATTGGGAAATTGATTGGGGAATTGATTGCGAAATACAGTGGTGGGCAGGGTTGCCGGCGTTCGAGACGGGCCGAACACCCGAACCCGAACGCCCGAACGTTTGGGACCCCCTCTTGACGCGTTCGGACGTTCGGCCGAACGCGGAACCAAAAAAAAAAAAAAAAAAAAAAAAAAAAAAAAAAAAAAAAAGAAGAAGAAGAAGAAGAAAAAAAAAATTGTTGACGTCACTGGTCTCATTCCCCAATTACGATTCAACAAAGCGGAAGAGCCAGCGGCTGCTGGGCCAATCGGGGAAACGGACAGGAAAAGTCGCAAGTGCGGTCTGTTTTGTTATGCTTCTTACCCTTCCTTCACTCCAATTGAGACGACTGCAGCTGCCAAGGCGACCCCCATATGCTCAGGATCAATTCCGTGGTGGTGGCCATCATGAGAGTGGGAAGAAGAACTGCCGGGAAAGCTCGGGAAGTGCATGTCGTGCGCATGCGCAACTAGCGCTTGAGCCTCTGCCACGCCACCTTCCGAGCCTGAGACTAGGGCATCAAGGCTAGGCGCAAGTGCCTGCACAGCAGCACCACATGCACAAAGAGGAATTGGAGGTTAGCTTGAGAGTCTGTTGTTTCTTTCTTTTATTTTCTTGCCTTTTATCTCCCAGGCCTGGGGGAGGCACCAGGGAAGAAGAAGAAGAAGAAGAAGAAGAGGAGGAGGAGGAGGAGGAGGAGGAGGAGGAGAAGAAGAAGAAGAAGAAGAAGAAGAAGAAGAAGAAGAA